GGAATTCCTTGGAGCAGCCTTCCTGTTGTGGCAGGAGAGCTGTCTCCATGTGAGAAGGCGGCTTTCAAAAGGGAGAAGGATCTCTCTCTCTCTCTCTTTCTCTTTCTCTCTCTCCCCTCCCTGCCCCCTTTCTCTCTGATCATCTCCCCCGCATTCCTGGGCGGAGATGAAATATTTATTTACCCACCAACCCGTAAACATGCAAGCAAGAGGCATTAAGGCACTTCGGCTTATGATTATTTCAGGGGGATCATACTTTGGAGTGTCTGGGGCGGGAGGAAGCCACGCGTGTTTGTTTCCCCGGCCCCTTCCCGCCTGGCCCAGCTCTTTCCCCCACAGACAGACAGACAGACAGATCGGTCTAGATCTAGGAACAAAAACAAACCCAGGCTACCTAGAGGTCTCTGTGTGCGGATAGGTAGATAGGAGCAATGTATATGTGTATATTGGTAGTTAGGGTTTGTGAGGCTGTATATAGCTACGTGTATGTATGTATGTATGTAGTGGCCTGAGTTGTGTGTGTGTGTCTGTGTTAACCTAGGTTTGATACTCTGGGGTTGCTTTTGTTTATGGATATAGATATAGATAGGAACAATGTTTATATGTATATTGGTAGTTGGGGTTTGTGTCTGTATGTGTGTGTATGTATATAGCAGCCTGAGTGATAGATAGATAGATAGATAGATAGATAGATAGATAGATAGATAGATAGATAGATAGATAGATAGATAGATAGATATAGTGTGTGTGTGTGTGTGTTTGTGTGTGTGTGTGTGTTAACCTGGGTTTGGTAGCCTGGGTTTGTTTTTGTTTATGGATATAGATATAGATTGGATTCATATATATATATATGTATATTAGTAGTTGTGAGTGTGTATATATATGTATGGATATACTATCTTGAGTTATATATATGTGATGTGTGTGTGTTATCCTGGGTTTGATATCCTGGGTTTCTTTTTGTTTATGGATATAGATATAGATAGGAGCTATGTATATATGTATATTGGTAGTTGTGAGTCTGTATATAGCTATGTATGTATGTATGTATGTATGTATATATGTGCTTGAGTTATATATGTGTGTTGTGTGTGTTTGTGTTTTGAGTTTGGTAGCCTGAGTTTGTTTTTGTTTATGATATAGATATAGATAGGAGCTATGTATATCTATGAACATTGAAAGTTGGGGTTTGTGTTTCTGTGTATAGCTTATGTATGTGTATGCATGTATAGTAGCCTGAGTTTTGTGTGCGTGTGGGTTAATCTGGGTTTGCTAGGCTCGGTTTGTTTTTGTTGATATAAAAACACACATACACATACATACATACATACATATACATGCACTATGTATGCTTATATGTATATTGACAGTCGGTTTTGTGTCTGTGAGTAAGTATATTATAGCTTGAGATTATATTGGGAGTATAACATATGTATATGCATTTGTAAGAGTGTATATATTATATTGTATCTTATATACGTTATATAATATGAGTTGTCTGTGTATAATATAATATTATATACACATATGTATATGTATATGCGTGTGTGTGTGTGTTTGTGTGTGTTATCATGCATTTGGTAGCCTAGTTTGTTTTTATTCATCTATATAATAAACCCAAAACAACCCCAGGCTACCAACACACACACATATATATATGTGTGTATATATATCCACACCAACATTTATAAAAAGAGCACGCACAGATATGTGTGTGTGTGTATATATGTGTGTATTTATATATATTGTTGGCCTGGGGCTGTTTGGGGGCGGGGAAAATTATCGAAGGAGAGAAGAATTGAAGCAGCTCTGTTATTTTAAAATTTCCTCTTTCCAAGTGAGCCCCCCCCCCACACACACACACTGCCCTTGTATCCCAGAATCTGATCCAGAGTATCTGCTTATCCCAGATTATCTGGCAGTGGAGACTCATATAATCCAGTTTAAAGCAGATAATCCGGGATCAGATCCTGGGCTATAGGGCATTGCAGAAGGGGTCTGAAACAGCCGGTGGGAAAGGTGGCATACCCTTGTGGTATATTGTATTCGTGGTAATGGGGTGGGGGTTGCTTGGTCTGCCCAAAGGCTTCTTTTGAAAGCAATTGGAGAAGCTCTGGATCACCTCTGGAATGTACCCCATCCACAGAGCCGGATGAATGCAGTTTGACACCATTTTAATTGCCCAGGGGGAAGGCTAGGGCATCCTGGGAGTTGTAGTGTTACAAGATTTCAAAATATGGTGGTGACTCACTAAACTGCAAATCTCAGGATGCCATTCCATAGCCTGGCAGTTCAAGGGGTTCAACTGCCTTGCAGGCATTCATTGATCCACCCATTCCTTCATAAGCAGGTGCGCCCTGGGGGGGGGGGGGCAGCCTGGAGTGGATCCTGGAATCCAAAGGCTCTCTTTGACTCAACACGGTTCAAGAGAGAGAAAGAAGCGCCAGAGGATCTTTTGGACAGACCTTCCCTTCCTTCCAACCCCAAAGTCTCATAGACTCCCAAGCCTGTTTAGGAAACGCAAACACAAGCTCGCTCGCTCTCTCTCTTGACATTTTCCTTCAAATTACATTAAGTCTAGATTTCTGGGATCCAAACGCTCTCTTTGATTTCCAGTTCAGCACGGATCGAGAGAGAGCAAAAAAAAAAAAAAGAGAGAGAATATCTAGGGGACCTTTTGGATTTCTTTCCTCCCTTCTGTTCCTTCCCTCCATTCCTTTCTTTCTTCCTTCTCTTCCTTCCCTCCTTCCCTTCTTTTCCTTCTCTCTCTTCCTTCCTTCCTTCTCTTTCCCCCTCTTTCCTTCCTTTTCTTCACTTCCCCTTTCCTCTTTTCCTTCTCTTCCTTCCTTCTCTTCCCTTCCTCCCTTTCTCCTTCTCTTTCTTCCTCTTTCCTTCCTTCCTTCTTTTCCCTTTCCTCCTTCTTTCTTCCTTCCTTCTTTTCCTTCTCTCTCTTCCTTCCTTTTCCTTCCCCTTCCTTTTCTCCCTCTTCTTTCCCTTTCCTCTATTCCCTTCTCTTTTCCTTCCTTCCTTCTTTCCTTCCCTCCTTCTTTTCCTTCTCACTCTTCTTCCTTCTCTCTCTTCCTTCTTTCTTCCTTTCTTCCTTCCTTCCTCCTTCCCTTCTTTTCCTTCTTTTCTTCCTCCTTCCCTCTTTCCTCCTTCCCTTCCTCCTTTCTCCTTTCCTTCCTTCCCTTCTTTTCCCTTTTTCCTCCTTCTCTTCCCCCCTCCCTTCTTTTCCTTTCTTCCTCCTCTTTCCTCCTTCTCTTCCCCTCCCTCCTTTCTCTTCCTTCTCTCTCTTCCCTTCCTTCCTTCCCTTCCTTCCTTCTCTTCCCGCCTTCCCCCCAATACCACGAGGCCGAGGTTCCCCCTGTGAGGCTGGCAGGGCTCCCTGCTTCCACTGGCCTCGGCGGTGGCGACCGGGAGCCAGGTGATTATCCTCATTAACGTCCCCCTAATTAAATTACTCTCTGCGGCCAGCGAATGGCAGGAGGGGCTGCCTGCGCGGGGCGAGGAACCAACAAGGAAAAAAAGGGGGAAAAAAGAGAAGGAAGGAATTAGAGGAAGAGAAGAAGAGAGAGCAGTTAAAGAAGGTGGAGAGAGACAGAAAAAAGGAGGGAGGTAGAGAAACGGAGGAAGAAAGAGAGAGAAAAGAGAAAGGAAAGGGGAGGAGGGAAAGCAAAAGAGACTGGGGGAGGAGGAAGAGGGAAAGAGAGAAAGAGAAAGGGATTGAGAAAGAGAAAGGAGAGGGAGGAGGGAAAGAGGAAGAGAGAAAGAGATTGAGAGGGAAAAGAGAAAGGAGGAGGGGAGAGCAGGAGACCGAGGGAGGAGGAAGAAGGAAGAGAAGAAGGGGAAAAAGGGAAAAAAGGAAAAGGAGGAGAGAGAGGAGAGAGAGAGAAAGGAGAGGAGGAAAAGAAAAAGGAGAGGGAAAAGAGGAGGAAGAAAAAGAAGAGGAGGAAAAGAGAAAAGGAGAGGGGGAGGGAGGAAAGAGAGGGAAGAGAGAAAGAGAAAGAAAGGGGGAGAGAGAGAAGAAAGAAAGGAAAGGAGGAGAGGGGAAAGAAAGGACGAGAGGAAGAGGAAGAAAAGGGGATTGAGAGAGAAGAGAGAAAGGGTAGGGGGGAAAGAGGAAGGGAGGAGGAAGAGGGAAAGAGAGGAAGGGAGAAAGGAAATAAGAGAGAAAGGAGAGGAGAAGGGATAGGGAAAGAGGGAGGGAGGAGGAAGAAGGAAAGAAAGGGAGAAAAAGAAAAAGGGATTGAGAAAGAAGAGAGAGAGGGAGAGAGGGAAACAGGAAGGAAGAGGGAAAGAGGAAGGGAGAAAGAGAAAGGGATTGAGAGAGAAGAGAGAAAAACGAGGGAGGGGGAAAGAGGAAGGGAGAAAGAGAAAGAAAAGGGATTGAGAGAGAAGAGAGAAAGGGGAGGGAGAGGGAAAGAGAGGGAGGGATAAGGAGAAAGAAAAAGTGATTGAGAGAGAAGAGAGAAAGGAGAGAGAGAGGGAAGGAGGAAGGGAGGAGGAAGAGGGAAAGAGAGGGAGGGAGAAGGAGAAAGAAAAAGGGAGTGAGAGAGAAGAGAGAAAGGGGAGGGAGAGGGGAGGAGGAAGGGAGAAAAGGAATGAGAGAGAAGAGAGAAAGGAGAGGAGGAGGGAGAGGGAAAGAGAGGAAGGGAGGAAGCGAAAGAGAGGAAGAGGAAAAAGTGGGAAGAAGACGGGAGAGAGGAAAAGAGGAGGGAGGGAGCACGGGATGCGTGGCTTCACTTTGGGACCAGTTTGGCGGGGAAGCTGGGCTTTCCTTTCCACTCCTTGTCATGCTCACTCGAGGGTGAGGAAGAGTAAGGGCCGGTGGCCTTGACCAGAGAAAACCCAACCAAAAAAGCAGCAACACCCTCCCTCCCCGCAACCTTTCCAAACCCCAAACAAACAGGCACACACCCAGGAGGAGGAGGGGGAGGGGGAGAGGGAGGAGGGGGTGCCTCTCTCTCTTTCTTTCCCTCCCTCCCTCCCTCTTTTTGGCCATGCAGCTGGAGCATTGTCTGTCGCCTCCGTCGGGGATGCTCTGCAAGCGCTTCCTCCAACTGAGCGCGGCGGCGTCGTCGTACCCAGAGCTGGCTGTGCACGAGGCTCCTCTTCCTCCCCCTCCTCCTCCTCTTCTTCCTCCTCCCTCCTCTGACAACCTGGAGCGGGGCTCACCTCTGCGGAAGCTCGCCAGGGGGCCGGCGATGACGCAGCCGCCGCCGCCGCATCAGGCCGAGGCGGACAATTTCGATGACTCCAAAGACCCGCCAGGGGACGCCCAGCAGCAACCACAGCATCCTCCTCCTCCTCCTCTTCTTCCTCCTCCTCCTCCTCCTCCTCCATCTCAGCAGCAGCAGCAGCAAGCACAACAGCACCAGCCGCGCGCTTTGGACAGCCAGGACCCGCTCCAGCTCCGTCCCGCCTTCGATGGAGCCACGGCGGAGCGCTACTTGCTCTCCTCGCCGGTGGCTCGCGGTGGTGGCAGCGGCGGCAGCGGCAGCTCCTCCTCCTCTTCCTCCTCTTCCTCCTCTTCTTCCTCCTCCTCCTCTTCCAGCCTTCCTCCGCCACCTCCTCCTCCTCCGTGCGCCGCGATGTTTCCCTACCCGGGGCAGCACAACCCCGCGGCTGCTGCCTTCTCCCTGGCCAGCCCCGGGCGCTACATGGCGCACCACCCGGCGCTCAGCAACGGCGCCTACAACAGCCTCCTGGCCAACCCGGCAGCAGCGGCAGCAGCGGCAGCGGGCGCTCCGCAGGGCTACCCATCGGCGGGATACCCCTACCCGCAGCAGTACGGACCCTCCAGCTACCAGGGCTCGCCTTTCTACCAGTTCCCCTCCGCCGCCGCCGCCGCCGCTGCTCAAGGCGGGCTGGTGCCGGGCAAGGCGCAGGTCTACCTCTGCAACCGGCCGCTCTGGCTCAAGTTCCACCGGCACCAGACCGAGATGATCATTACCAAGCAAGGCAGGTAAGGCACCGGCCCCAGGCAGCAGCAGCAACAGCCTCCCCTCTCCCTCCGCTCTTCCTGGACGGTGCCCCACTTCCCCTTCTTTCCCTCTTCCCCTTCTTCTTCCCCTTTGATTCCTCTCTGCCGTTTCCATCACGCAACCCGTCGAGGAAGAATGATTTCCTCCCCACCTTTTGGTATATTTTTTCTATAGTCTTTGATTCGCCCCGCCGCCGCTTTGCTTTTGAGCGGAGACTTTTGTGTTTGAAGATACAGACTTCCGCGGGGATGCTTTTTTTCTTCTTCCCGAGATGCCTGTTGAGAGGACTCCTTCTGCTCATCATAACAACAACAACAAGAAGAAGAATAGCAACAACTAGAACAATAGCAACCACAATAATAATGTATTTTCCTGCATGGCAGAGGGTTGGGCGGCATGGCCCTTCCAACTTTATGATTCAACAACCACAACAACCACAACAACAACAAATGAATTTTTCCTGCATGGCAGAGGGTTGGGTTGCATGGCCCTTCCAACTTTATGATTCAATAATAATAATAATAATAATAATAATAATAATAATAATAATAATAATAATAATAATCTACAGCCAGCAGAGTGTCTGCTGTGGACTCATCTTGTTGTGTTTCAAACAACAACAACAACAATAACAGCAACCGCAGTAATGAATTTTTCCTGCATGGCAAAGGATTGGACTGCATAGCCCTTGTGGTCTCTTCCAACTTTGTGATTCAATAATAATAATAATAATAATAATAATAATAATAATAATAATAATAATAATGCATCACACAATCCTAAACGCTTGGGAAGTGTTCGACTTGTGATTTTGTGATACGAAATCCAGCATATATATCTCGTTTGCTGTGCCATACTGTATTTTTGTGTCAGTAAAATAATAATAATAATAATAATAATAATAATAATAATAATAATAATAATAGACTCTGGCACAAGCCAGTCAATGTGGTCCCAGTGGTGATAGGTACACTGGCTGCAGTGCCTAAAGACCTTGGCCTGCACTTAAGCACAATCGGCGCTGACAAAATTGCCATCTATCAGCTGCAAAAGGCCACCTACTCGGATCTGCACGCATTATTCACGGAGACATCACACAATCTTAGACACTTGGGAAGTGTCCGACGTGTGATCCAATACAACAGCCAGCATAGAGATCTTGTTTGCGGAGTCCTAATCTTGTTGTGTTGCAAATAATAATAATAATGCATCACACAGTCCTAAACACTTGGGAAGTGTTCGACTTGTGGTTTTGTGATACGAAATCCAGCATATATGTCTCGTTTGCTGTGTCGTACTGTGTTTTTGTGTCAGTAAAATAATAATAATAATAATAATAATAATAATAATAATAATAATAATAATAAGAAGAAGAAGAAGAAGAAGAAGAAGAAGAAGAAGAAGAAGAAGAATGACGACTTTGGCACAAGCCAGTCAACGTGGTCCCAGTGGTGATCGGTACACTGGGTGCAGTGCCTAAAGACCTTGGCCTGCACTTAAACACAATCGGCGCTGACAAAATTGCCATCTGCCAGCTGCAGAAGGCCACCTTACTGGGATCTGCACATACATCACACAGTCCGAGACACTTGGGAAGTGTCCGACGTGTGATCCAGTACAACAGCCAGCATAGTGATCTTGTTTGCTATGTACTCGTCTTGTTGTGTTTCAAATAATAATAATAATAATAATAATAATAATAATAATAATAATAATAGCAACAACAATAATAGCAACAATAATGTATTTTCCTGCATGGCAGAGGATTGGACTGCGTAGCCCTTGTAGTCTCTTCTAACTTTATGATTCAATAGTAACAATTGTTATTATAATAACAAGGACAACATTAACAATAATAATATATTGTCAAAGTCTTTCATGGCCGGAATCATTGGATTGTTGTGAGTTTCTAACAGACCTCACAACCTCTGAGGATGCCTGTCATAGATGCAGGCGAAACGTCAGGAGAGAATGCTTCTGGAACATGGCCATACAGGTCGAAACGCTTACAGCAAGCCAGTGATTCCGGCCATGAAAGCCTTCGGCCACACATTATTATTGTTATTATTAATATTAATATTTCTGTCAGCATTAGGTTTACCAGACTTTAGTGCGACCATTAGATTGGTCCAATTAGTGCGACCATTATCATAGTCCTTAGCTATTCTATCAGTAGATTTGCCAGCCTTCGGGCTCTCCTAGCCCAACTCGGCCTCCCAGTTAGTCCCCGCTTCCTAGGGATCCTGATTGAAGGGGACCGGCGCCCAAAAGAGACAGACTGATCGGCGGCACGTTAGTCCTTCTCCCCGGAGGAACTTCAGGTGCCCAAAGGCGGCTCCTGTTTGGCTCCTGATTGCCACTTTCCTCATGCTGCTAGCCCGGCTGAAACTCAGCCGAGGGCAACAAAAGGCGGGCAGAGGGGGCTCCAAAACGCCCTTTTTGGCGACGCTGAATGCACTCGATCCACCAGAGAAGCGCAAAGGATCTCAAGGAAAGGGAAATATTGTTGTTGTTATTGTTGTTATATTTGGAACCGCTCCCTTTCTTCATTTAATCCCCCTCCCCGTTTCTCTCTCTCTCTTTGGAAACAGGCGCATGTTCCCTTTCTTGAGCTTCAACATTTCCGGCCTGGACCCCACGGCCCACTACAACATATTCGTGGACGTCATCCTGGCCGACCCCAACCACTGGCGCTTCCAAGGCGGCAAATGGGTCCCTTGCGGCAAAGCCGACACCAACGTCCAAGGCAAGCGAGCAAGCCCGGGCTCCCTCGGCTATTCTTCTCCTTTTCGGGATTTGCAAAAAAGAAAAGCTAATTAACACATTTTCCCTCCGGCCCCCCTCCCGGCCCCCCTCCCTTTCCACACGCGCCCCACACCCTGCGCCCGAGGTGCGAAGGCTTAATTGGGAGACACTCGGCGGACGGGAAAGGGGAAAGAGGGAAGAGGGAGGGAGGAAAGAAGGAAAGAAGGAAGGAAGGAAGGAAGGAAGGAAGGAAGGAAGGAAGGAAGGAAGGAAGGAAGGAAGGAAGGAAGGAAGGAAGGAAGGAAGGAAGGAAGGAAGGAAGGAAGGAAGGAAGGAAGGAAGGAAAAGAGGGGGAAGCTGCCAGAAAAAGATGCCGACAGGGACACAGAGCACGGGGGTTGTTTATATTGTTTTCCAGACTTCCTTTCCCCCGCTTCTGGCTCCTTTTGTTGGTTTGTTTGCTATTCCAATGGTTCCAAATTCGATAGATGGCTATAGAGGTTAGTTAAGTATATAGATAGGCAGACAGAGGGGTTAATAGATAGGTAGGTAGGTAGGTAGGTAGGTAGGTAGGTAGGTAGGACGGGTAGATAGAAAGGCAGAGAGATAAAGTTATTAATAGACATAGACATGGATTAATGGATGGATAGATAGAAAGATTAGATAGATAGATGGAAGGATGGATGGATGGGTAGGTAGAAAGGTAGATAGGTAGGTAGGTAGGTAGGTAGGTAGGTAGATAGAGAGATAGATAGATAGATAGATAGATAGATAGATAGATAGATAGATAGATAGATAGATAGAACGATAGATAGACAAGACAGGTAGATGGGAAGGCAGAGTGATAAAATTATGACTAGACAGAAGATGGATTAATTGATAGATAAATAGAAAGATTAAATAGAACGATAGGTAGATAGATGGATAGATAGATATACGACAGGCAGATAGGTAGATAGATAGATAGATAGATAGATAGATAGATAGATAGATAGATACGACAGGTAGATAGGAAGGCAGAGTGATAAAATTATGACTAGACATAGACAGATGGATTAATTGATAAATAAATAGAAATATTAAATAGAACGATAGATAGGTAGATAGATAAATAGATAGATAGATAAGACAGGTAGATAGGAGGGCAGAGTGATAAAATTATGAATAGACATTAACAGATGGATTAATTGATAGATACAAAGAAATATTAGATAGATAGAACGGTAGATGGATGGATGGATGGATAGAACGATAGATAGATAAGACAGGTAGATAGGAAGGCGGGGTGATAAAATTATGAATAGACATAGACAGATGGATTAATGGATAGATAGATAGAAAGATAGATAGATAAGACAGGTAGATGGGAAGGCAGAGTGACAGAATGAGGAAAAGACTGATAGAGCGATGAAATGATAAGTAGATATATTGATAGGAAAGCAGAGTGACAGAGTGAGGAATAGACATAGAGCGGTAAAATGATGAATGGAGATATCTACATACACACTGATAGGAAGGTCGAGTGATAGGTAGATGGGTAAATCGGAAAGTACATCTGTCAAAAGAAAAATGCCAGATAGATAAGTAGATAGAATGATTGCGAAAGGAGGAGAGATGAGTGCTAGAAAGAGAGGCCTGGGATTGCTCTCAAAACGTGTGTGCTGGTGGGTGTCAATATTGGCAAGCACGGACGCTGACCGCCAGCAGTATTTCTCAACACAAGCGAGAAAACACCGGCTGGGTTGCGTTGAAACCAGATCTGCCTCGTCCTCCGCATCCGAGCGGAGTTGGAGGCCGAGGGTAATCCCCGCAAGCAGGGCTCACTTAGCTTACTCCAGCCTGATTGTATCTCAGGGACACAGGCGCCTTGGGGCTCAGATCTTGAGGTCGCTATGGGTATCCATCAAGCGGAATTATTATTATTATTATTATTATTATTATTATTATTCGTGGGGGGGGGGTGAACCTACTGCCTCAATGGTGGAGGGGGAGTGCGCTGGGAAGGTAATGTGATATGGATAGATAGATTTTTTTCGTGTCAGGGGCGACTTGAAAAACTGCAAGTTGCTTCTGGTGTGAGAGAATTGGCCGTCTGCAAGGACGTTGCCCAGGGGACGGCCGGATGTTTTGATGTTTTACCATCCTTGTGGGAGGCTTCTCTTATGTCCCCGCATGGGGAGCTGGAGCTGACAGAGGGAGCTCACCCGCGCTTTCCCTGAATTGGAACCTCCGACCTGTCGGTCTTCAGTCCTGCCGACACAAGGGTTTAATTGATAGATAGATGATTTTGCAGAAGTTCTCCCTGCAGGGTTAGGAAGGGGCTTCTGGGTGGGTTGGTTTGCTGGCTCTTTGATATTSTGTATTCTTCGTGGGTTCCCCCTTGTGACTCTCTCCCCCGTGCCTGTCTCGGCGTGTCTTCCCYTCAGGCAACCGGGTCTACATGCACCCCGACTCCCCCAACACGGGCGCCCACTGGATGCGCCAGGAGATCTCCTTCGGGAAGCTGAAGCTGACCAACAACAAAGGGGCCTCCAACAACAACGGCCAGGTCAGTGGAGGCCTCCTTCCCCAGAGTCAGGGGGACCCGAGAGGAAACCCTTTCCCTCCCAGCCCGGCCCTTCTTCCACGCGGGCCCCAATCCGGCCTCTCTCTCTCTCAAATAAAATGAAGAAGGGGCTCCATTGTAGCCCTGGCTGCCAAGGGAGAGCCCTCCTTCCCTCTCCCCCGAGCGGAGAGCGCTCTCTTTCTTTCCAAGAAGCAGGCCGCCTCCCATCTCTTTCTTCTCCTCCTTGTCTGTCTCCCTTCCCCGCTCGGCTTCTGCTCCTACTCCCGGTGTGTCCAGATGGTGGTCCTGCAGTCGCTCCACAAATACCAGCCTCGCCTCCACGTGGTGGAAGTCAACGAGGACGGCACGGAGGACAGCAGCCAGCCCGGCCGCGTCCAGACCTTCACCTTCCCCGAGACGCAGTTCATCGCCGTCACCGCCTACCAGAACACCGATGTAAACAAGGGGAAGGGGGAGAGAGAGGGAGCGGGGACGGGGGGCGGGGGGGGGGCATGCTTTGGAGGGCGGCGGAGCCAGGAACAAAGCGGGCCCGGGGCTAGGAAAGCACGGGGGCTCCTGATATTTCACCCCACTTGCTTCCTCCCCACTTTTCTTTCTTTGAATTGTTCCCAGATTAGGTAGATGAACTGATAGAGCTATAGATGAATGGATGATAGGTGGATGGATAGTTAGGTTATTTATGGATGGACAGATGGGGCTGGGAGATAGAAAGATGGTTGGATGGGTAGGTGGGAGTTAAGGACTGATGACTTAACTCTGGATAATTTAAAATAATTGGTAATGAGGAGGCCTGCTATAGATGCAGGCGAAAGGTCAGGAGAGAATGCTTCTGGAACATGGCCATACTGCCCGAAAAACTCACAGCAACCCAGTGATTCCGCCCATGAAACCCTTCGACAACAAATTGGTAATGTAGGTAGGTAGGTGCATGGATAGATGATACATTAGATAGATCAATAAAAGGTAAAGGTTTCCCCTGACATTTAGTAAAGTCGACTTTGGGGATTGGTGCTCATCTAAATTTCTAAGCCTGCGTTATCTGTAGACACCTCCAAGGTCATGTGGCCCGCATGACTGCATGGAGCACCCTTACCTCCCCGCAGAAGCGGTACCTATTGATCTACTCACATTTGCATGTTTTCGAACTGCTAGGTTGGCAGAAGTTGGGCCTAACAGCAGGAGCTCACCCCGCTCCCCGGTCTATATGTATAGATTTTAAATAGTATTGAAATATATTTATTTCCTATCGAAAGCATTGCATTAATTAGTATAAAACTGATAAAAATAGAAGGAGCGCAGGCGGCTAAATATCCTTTGACCAAAAACTGGCAACAGCAATGGCACTGTCTGTAGCCTCCAACAACTCTTCCTCTGTACATGAGGCAGGGCACAGTGGACAAGCATACAGATGCGGAGTTGTCTGTTCTGCTCCACAAGGTGTGGGATTCTTTTAGGTATTTAAATGCTTTTAGTGTAAGCAGCCTTAACTCTCCTTGTGGAGAGAAAAAGAGAGGGCATGAAAAAGCGGGGTATAAATAAACATAACAACAACAACTTGGGAAGTGTGGGCGTGTGAGCGAATACAAAAGCCAGCATAGTGATCTTGCTGTGAACTAATCTTGTGTATCTAATAATAATAATAATAATAATAATAATAATAATAATAATAATAATAATAATAATAATAGATGCACAGAGGGCAAGAGGGATATGTTGATAGGTAGATGGATGGATAGTTGGATAGGTAGGCAAGTAAAAGGATGGACAGGTGCATGGATAGACAAGTGGCAGAGAAATAGATGGATGGGGGGATAGGTGGATAGCTAGATTAATAGATGAGGCATGGACAGTTAATGATAGAGAGAGAGAGAGAGAGATGGATGGATGGATGGATAGATAGATTATTATTTTATGGTTCTGTTTACTCTTATCTCACTTTCCTCTCCTAAAGGAGAGATGGATGGATAGATAGCTTATGGATGGAGAGAAAGAGAAATAGAGAGTGATGGATATTATTATTATTATTATTATTATTATTATTATACCCCACTTTATTCTCTTAAAGGAGAGATGAATGCCTAAGTAGGTTAAGTAGATGGATTGGACACAGAGAGAGAGATGATAGGTGGATGATGGATCGGTAGATGGGTTGATGGACTGATGTCAAATGGGAGAGACCCTGTCTTAAGGTGTGTGTGTGTGTTCAACATTGGCAAGCAAAAGGTTGTGGAGAGAAGGGAGGGATTTCTCCTTGGTCCCAACACAGTGGCCTATAAACCTCCCCAAACCTGCCTCTGAGCAAGGCGACGATGGAGAGCTGAATAGTTAACATGTCTCCTGTATCTCATTGTTATTTTTATTTATTTGTATCCCGCCTTTCTCGCAGGATAGAGATTCATGAGGGCTCCCCAATAGCAATGGCTGTTTTTTAAATCGTTGAAAGATAGGCCTGAATCCTATGGCCAGTCCCAGCCAGAGTAAACCTCTGAAACTCTGGGAAATCCAACGAATCCTAGTAGGAATGGCATGCACACAGGATTCAGGACTGAGTCTCCTTTTCTCTAGTTCTTGGTGGAGGGACTCATGGCAGAAGAAGCCTTCCCCTCCAATCTTTCCGGGCTGGCTGGGTTGGGTGCGTATTTCCGCAGTTGCGTAAATCCAAACGCAGGGCGCGGGGGTTCTCAGGACTTTGTAGTTGTACACTTTACTCGGGAGTAAGTCCTATTTCATTCAGTACACCGGGGCCTCTGAGTAGGGACGGTGGGGAATGGCTCCCTTGGATTGATTGTGATAGCCCCCCCCCCCCCAAAACCGGGCTTTCGGTTCCTGACAGAAGTTTTTGAAATGGTTTCCACGCCATTCGGGGTTGGTAACGCTCGGGCCTGAGAAATCAGTTCTGGTGGTTTTGGCGGGAACTCGGTGTCACTTCGGATTGAAGGATTGGGACCCGGGACGGGCGTCGAGATCGGTTCGTCTCACCTACATACATCGACACTGTCGAATTAATGCAGTTTGACCCCACTTTCACAGCTCGATGCAACGGAATCCAGGGATTTGCAGTTTGGTGAGACACAGGCAGAGAAGGCTAAAGACTATGTGTTGTCCAAGGCTTACATGGCCGGAATCACTGTGAGATTTCCGGGCTGAGATAATGCTTCTGGAACATGGCCATTCAGCCCGAAAAACTCACAGCAACCAAGGCTAAAGGCCTTGCAAAACGACAACTCTCCCAGTGACATAGCATCGCGCGAAAGTGGTATCAAAGTGCATTAATTCGACAGTATAGATGCACAAAATGTGTCCCCAGGATAGCGCCTGAAACGTTTTGGCAGCGAAAAAGGAGTTTGGATGGGATCTAGAGTTTGCTTTTGCAAAAAGGAGCTGAAAGCAACGCTTTTAAAATGTAGTACCCAAAGTTTAAATAGCAAAATTTGTAAATAGACCTAATGGTAGGCATAAGGTGGAAACAACTGCAGGGTCAGGCGAATGGGCCATGCGTAAACACCAAAAACCCATCATCCACAAAAGAGCGACCAAGAAATAAACCTCTCAGGCTTGGGGGCAGATTTCTAACCCTTTCCCGGTTCCTCTTACTATTTCATTCCCCGCAGAAAAGGGCGACTGAGATGGATGTCTGCGTCCTTCAATGCTCTTCTTTGGCTCCCTTTCCTGGCCATTATTTGCTCCTTTCCCCGAAGCAGGACGTCTGTTTGCCCTCCATCGGAAGCTCCGCATTTGAGACCCTTTTCCTTTCCTTCTTTTCCAGATCACTCAGCTCAAGATAGATCACAACCCCTTCGCCAAAGGCTTCCGAGACAACTATGACACGTAAGTGGCGCAGGACACGCCGGTCCTTTTGCTCTTTCTCTTGGTCTCAGGAAAGGTCTCGAGAGGGAGGGAGGGAGGGAAGGAAGGAAGGAAGATGTAGGATTCCAGGGGAAAAAGTGATTCACCCCTGGGGGGAACCACCCCCTCCTCTCCAAATGTGGCCACGCGTGTTTTCCACCTTTTTCTTACTTGACGCAGAGCGTGGGGTTTGCTCGGTTAGGTGTCTGGGAGGGTGGATTTAAAATACTGGGATGGGATGGGTGAAAAGAGTGCTTTGGTTCTTCCTGCCTGGCAGAATGGGGCTGGACTGGATGGCCCTCCAGCAGCTACTTCATCACACTAGAGAATGAATCCACTTTAAATGCGGTTTCTGCCTCCTGCAGAATTATGGAGGAGCTTTTGACAGTTTCACTAAACGACAAACCCCAGAATTCTGCAGGAGGCAGAAACCGCATTTAAAGTGGATTCATTCTCTAGTGTGGTGAAGTAGCTGCTGGAGAGCCATCCAGTCCAACCCCATTCTGCCAGGCAGGAAGAACCAAAGCACTCTTTTCACCCATCCCATCCCATCCCAGTATTTTCAACTCTATGATTCTATACTGAAAACATTTCCGGGGTTTTTTTTGGGGGGGGAGGGGGATAGGCGAGGAAAATCTGATTAGTTCACCATCCTATCCTAACGCAGTTTTCTATCCACAACAACCCTGTGAGGTAGGCTAGGCAAGGAGAAGAGGGGGGCATAGAAGTCAAGTTCTTTTCTTCTACCTTAGGCCGGATCTACACTGCTCTGTATTCAAGGATATGATGCCAGATTATCTGCTTTGACCAGGATTATTTAAATCTACACTGGGATAAACAGATAATCTTATATTATATATGATAAATAATCAAATAATAGGGGAGAAGCAGATAAACATGCCCACTCGGAATTCTTATCCCGACTTGAGGCAAATGGGTTTGCTTTGCAGTACTGTATTCGAATTCACCTTGAAGACCAGCCTAGTTTGGTGGCTGAATGCTCTGGAGTCCAGAGTTTCAGCCCCCACCTTGGAAATCCCATCTCTCAGCCTCAGAAGAAGGTGAAAGTACCCCCCCCCCCACACACACACACACTGAACACGTGTGCCTAAAACGCCCCTCGGTAATGTCTCTGTAAGTCGGAAGCGACTTGAAGGCACACGCTCACCCAATGGCCACCTTAGAGGTGTCTGCGGCTGTTCTCTTTCGGTGGGAGGGGTCCCATGGTAATGGGAATATTAACCTCAGAGGAAACACATTGGGGGGTCCTGTTTTGACACGTGTAAGCAGCCTCCTCGCTTGAAAAGGAGTTCAGAATTGAGCCCCTTTGCCTGCCCAGCAAACATGGCTAATAGTCATGAACATGTCAGTCATGTCAATCTCCTTTAAATTAAGCGAGCGGTACACAGATAAATAAGCAACCCACCATCGGCCAATAATAATAATAATCATGTTGAGGCCTCAATTCTCTTCATTATATTATTCTTATTATTATCATTTGATACATAACAAGATTAATACACAGCAAACAAGATCACTATGCAGGCTGTTGTATTTAATAGGACACTTCCCAAGGGTCTAGGAATTATTATTATTATTATTATTATTAAAACCAAAATAATTCTTTGTACTTTGCTCCCGAAAATTCCTGATCATCCTCAGCCATTGGAGAGTGGACTGAAAGTGAGTTGAGAGTTACCTAATGGAGGCATTTTCAATTCTCACTTTAAACCCATTGGACTGCACGATCCAATACCACACAATAGATTCAATAGGTCAGTTCTGCACTGAGAATTAAATAATAATAATAGGCAAAGGTAAAGGTTTTCTCCTGACATTAAGTCCAGTCGTGTCCGATTCTTGGGGTCGGTGCTCACCTCAATTTCTAAGCCGAGGAGCCAGCGTTGTCAGTAGACACCTCCAAGGTTATGTGGCCAGCATGACTTCATGGAGCGCTGTTAAAATAATAATAATAATAATAATGCGAAATTCAGCATATATATCTCATTTGCTGTGTCATACTGTGTTTTTGTGTCAGTATAATAATAATAATAATAATAATAATAATAATAATAATAATTTCTTTATAACCCGTCCTATCTCCCCCCCCCCCCCCCCCCCCCAAATCTATAATGTAAACCCGATTGAAAACCACGTTTTCAAAGTATGGTCAAAACAGCAATAAATAAATAAAGCAAAAAGGACTGCCTGTATTTTTTTTATTATTATTCCTTGCTTGCCCAGAAGTCTTTGTCAGGCCCTAAAGCTCTCTGGGTAATTCAAGCCTTTCTTATTCTCACAAGAGCAAAAGATCGCTCTTTAGGAGGCTCAGTCTGCATTTCTTGACCGGTGCCAACTTCAGGTCTTGACAACGTCAAACAGTTTCACATTGGCATTGGGCAAAGCAGTCCTGGGTTGCCTCTGCACGGTGGAATAAATACAGTTTCATCACCACCACCCCTCCCCAATTGGGTCTATGCTATGGAATCCTGGGAGCTGTCCTTTCAGCAGAGTGAAAACTCACAGGGTTCCCTAGCATTGAAACATGGTGGCTGAAGTGGAGTCAAACTGCTCTCATCCTGCACTGTAGACCTTTGCCATATTGTCGAAGGCTTTCATGGCTGGAATCACTGGGTTGTTGTGAGTTTTCCGGGCTGTCTGGCCCTGTTCCAGAAGCATTCTCTCCTGAAGTTTCATCTGCATCTATGGCAGGCATCTCCAGAGGTTGTGAGGTCTGTTGGAAACTAGGAAAATGTGAATGCTGGGTGAAACTGCTGGGCCATTAAATGCTAATCAAGGTGGCCAATTGAAACATTCACACCTACCTCGAACAGTTCTTTCTCTCACCCTGGATATTACTCCACAGATATATAAACCCAATTTTTCTAGTTTGCCGCAGACCTCACAACCTCTGAGGATTTATTTTTTTTTTGTCGTGTCAGGAGCGACTTGAGAGACTGCAAGTCGCTGCTGGTGTGAGAGAGTTGGCCGTCTGCAAGGACATTGCCCAGGAGACGCCCAGATGATTTGATGTTTTTATCATCCTTGTGGGAGGCTTCTCTCATGTCCCCGCATGAGGAGCTGGAGCAAATAGAAGGAGCTCAGGCAAAACATCAGGAGAGAATGCTTCTAGAACATGGCCATACAGCTCGGGAAAACTCACAACAACCTATTTACCATATTCATTTACTAAAAGCTGCCCCTTCGAATTGAAAAATCAGGACCCAGGAAGACGAGAGAGCCCGCTTAGTGTAGTAGTGCTTTGAGAGCCGGAGTACAATCTTGGAGGCCACGGGAAGCCACTGGGGAACTTGGAACAAGTCACACTCTCTCGGATTCAGAAAAACATTGGGAATATCGCCTTAGTTTCCCTTGATCAGAAATTAAAAGGCAGAGAAAGGGAGAGATGGGCTCAGTTGAAGGTTGAAACACCGAAAGAAGTCCCACTAGCTGCCATGGCTCAATGCTTTGGAGCTCTGAGAGTTGTGGTTTGGGGAGGTACCAGCCTTCTTTGACAGAGAAGAGGGAAAACCTTGCAAAACTACAGCTCTCGTGATTCCATAGCATCGAGCCATGGCAGTTAGAGTACCGTCAATCTATACTCCTGCTATGCACCTTGAATTGTCCTGGAATAATAATAATAAACAACTTTCTTTATACCCCGCCACCATCTCCCCAAGGGGATTCGGGGCGTCTTACGTGAGGCCAAGCCCAACAATACAGCAATGCAAATAAACAACATATAACGACATTAAAATATAAAAATAAAATACAAGAAACAATATAAATAAGTACACCAAACAATGTCAATTCACAATAATTTAAACACAGAAAAAAATCACAGTGGTCAGGGCCAGTAGCAAGGATTAAAAGTTTAAAACACTGGGTGAGGAAGGCAATGTAATGCATCTGGGCAGGGGATCAGAGGGACCCAAGTAGGGTTTAATTGCACTAGTAGGTAGAAAATAAAGTGCTTCCCAGGGCATTTTATGAAGGATTTGGCCAGGTCAGGGGTTATAATTCAGTTAATAATTCCTTGAAGGCACACTGGAACAGCCAAGTTTTCAAGCTCTTCCTAAAGATTGCCAAGATGGGGGTTTGCCTAATTTCTCTGGGGAGCGAATTCTAGAGCAGAGGGGCCACAACAGAGAAGGCCCTGTCCCTCATCCCCACAAGTCGCAGCTTGTTACAAGTCTATGGCTGAAATCCCAGCACTGGTCCACTGGAATTGCATTGATCTGCATTATATGGGTCTACTCTGACCATATAATATAGGTCACACTGCATTATTTGACAGTGTGACCTATATTATATGGTCAGAGTAGATCCATATAATATAGGGCACACTGTCAGCCAGCCATGGAAGCAAATGGATTCACTTCAATGTTCACTTCTTGGGAGCTCACCAGTTGATTCCGGGCGTCTCTTTCTAGCCTTTGTGGGACTAGTAGCTAAAGTCACATAAATAAATACAGCAACCAATTGTTAGCAAATGCAGCCGGATTAAAAAGGACCGTGTAGTCGGTGCTGTTCTCCATCCCGCTCATTACAAAGCCCGCTTCCAAGGCTTGGTTGTGGCTCCATATTTCAATCCCACCAATGGAAACAATCCCGAGTTTAGGCTCCAGGCCCCACCTACGCTGACCATTTAATGCAGTTTCAAACCGGTATTGATCAAAGTAGTTTCCCCATGCAGATGATTATATGGGAGATCCTGGACCCAGTTTAAGGCCCGGATAGAGCATAGGGCACTGGTGCGCATTATGGGTTTTCTTTCTGGGAGTTTGTTGTCTGGCCGCAGCAGTCTGAAGCCAGCTTCGACCTGCGTTAAATGGTCAGTATAGATGGGGCCAAGGAGAAAGGCAGAATGAGATTTCCCCAAAACGACTGCATCGCTTCAGAAGCACCTTTCCTCATTCTGACTGGGGCTCCCCTTAAGCTGGCTTCCTTCTCCTCCAGAGGAAGTCTTTCAGAGCCGAAAACAACCCTAACCACAGGGAGAGTTTCCATCTCGTTTTTCTTCTTCTTGAAAGGGAAGGTTTAGGAGGGGAAAGACATTCAAGAAGTATTTGAAAAGACAACTATTGGGACGTGTGACTTTAGTGAACCTGACATAATCCAATCTTTCCTTGTCTGGGTTAGTTATCAAGCAGACGAGGACTCAGTTGATTGGCTTCTGGGCTCCAAGCCAGGCAGCGACCCTCTTCCCCTCTGGATCTCCAGGTGCGCTGCCTTGTCTGAAGCTCTAGGCTTCGCTTCCTATTTCAACCGGGTCCCGGGCTTAGGGTGAAACGGGAGGGGGAGGCGGGGGAGGCAGGAATGCCGGATTTCCCTGGGAGGAGGAGGATTTTCTCTATTTAGGATCCCTTGGAGGAGGATTGTTATTGTTGTCGCTATTGTTATTATTATTATTATTTTAAGTCTGTTGTATCTCCTTAACCAGGAGACAGATGTACACTTTGCCTGCACGGCTTTCTCTGCAGACTCAATTCCCTATGTTTCTGTGGGTAGCTGCTAGATCAAAACGTCAACAAACATTAACCAAATGCTGGCAAAGACGATGCTGGTGTTTAAGAGCAGGGGTGGTCCTGGGATATTGTGGTCGCTTTTCGTTCAGAAAGGGATAGCTTTCCCCGCTTTGCGTTGATCCATAACACGGAGGGTGCTTTGAATCGGTTCCCTTTGCCCTGTATTCTTTCCTTCCTGTCCCCGTGGTTTTTGGAAACTGTTTTTCGTGACTTCCTCTCTCACGCAAATGCATTGCAGCCCAAAGGCACGTAGACTTGGGGCCCGTTCGCACAAGAGAGTTAAGTGAACGAAGGTGGGATTGGTTGTGCTCAATGGGCTTCACTCCCTCAGGGCCCCTGTTTACGCCTTTAGCGCAATGGTTCTCAACCCTTGGGTCCCCAGGTGTTTTGGCCTACAACTCCCAGAAATCCCAGCCAGTTTACCAGTTGTTAGGATTTCTCGGAGTTGAAGGCCAAAACATCTGGGGACTCACAGGTTGAGAACCACTGCTGTAGAAGGTCGTTTGACTCCACTTCATCGGCTATGCAATTATGGGAATTGTAGCTTGGTGAAGCACCAACAGTCCTTGGCAGGGAAGACTAAAAGCCCTGTAAAGCTACACCTCCCAGGATTGCACAGCAGTGAGCCGTAGCAGTTCAAGTGGTGTCAAGCTGCATTGATTCTGGATGTAGAGGGACCCATGGCGAAGTGATTTTAGTGTTGGACTGTGGCTCTGGAGACCAGAGTTTGAATCCCTGCCACTGGATAGCCTCCAGCGAGTCACACTCTCTCAGCCTCCGAGGAAAGCAATGGCAACCGCCTTCTGAACCAATCTTGCCAAGAAAACGCTGCGGTAGGAGGAGAAACACCCTAACATATCACGGCAAGATTTCTTTAAGTTTGCTCATGCCTTCCTCTGAGGCTGAGAGAGTGTGACTAGCCCAAGGTCAGACAGTGGCTTTCCAGGGCTGAGTGGGGATTCAGCCCCTTTTCCGGTGTCATACAACTGGTGGTTCTCAGTTGTGTAGAAGAGGGATTTTTAGTGGGTATTGGGGAGCTTATGCCTCTCCCAATGAGATGTTGCTTCTATACAACAACAGAAGGGACTGGAGTCCTGTTGTTATGTCACCTGGCAATCTGATCCCTCTTTGGGATTATAAGGTTCTGTCCTGTTCCCTCCACATATTTGTACACACTAAAGCCATCATTCAAAGCTGGCTTTAGTGTGTTGCAAGCAATTCCTGAGGCAGTCCAGCCCAATTTACATTATCCTCAATGTTCCCATGAAGACCCTCCCAGCACATCCAAATTATTCTTTACAGGAAGTGTGTACAGATATATGGAGGGAACAGGACAGAACCTTATTAGATTTTTCCATTGCATTGTTTCACTTTGTTCAATATTGTTTCACTTTGCTACTTTGGGTTACATCTCCACTGGAGAATGAATGCAGTCCAACACCATTTGAACTGCCATGGCTCAATGCTATGGGATCCTGGGTTTTGTAGTTTGGTGAGGGACCTGCACTCTTGGCAAGAGGAGGCTAAAGACCATGAAAAATGCAGCTTCCAGGATAGCAGTGGGCCATGGCAGTTAAATTCTACAGTGTAGACCAGGCATGGGCAAACTTCAGCCCTCCAGGTGTTTTGGATTCAACTCCTGTTGAAGTCCAAATCCTGAACTTCTATGCTTACTGTTAGGAATTGTAGGCGTTGAAGTCCAAAACACCTGTAGGGCCAAAGTCTGCCCATCCCTGGTGTAGAAGCACCCTCAGACTAGGCCCAAGGCAGGCCTTTTAGATGAGATTGGACCTCAACTCCCTCATGAAAGGCATACAGGCTTGCCTTGACCCAGCAGTCGTATTTCCTCCTCAAGATGAAGGCACTGTGAGGAAGGCTGGGCAGAGGCTGCTAGGCCGCCAAGACTAGGCTTCTGTTGTGCTTTTCTGTGCACCAGATAAGGAGGCAGCCATAATGTTTATGGTCAGTGTAGATGGGCCCTTTTTCTGTCAGATGCAACCATTCAAATTGCACTACCTGGTCCCACTGCTAGGCAGGCTGAGCGGAGGTGCCTAGGCCTCTCATAGTGCTTTTCTGAATAACAGAAAGCAAGGCAGCTATAATATTTACGGTCAGAGTAGATGGGCCATTTTCCTGTCAGATGCCATCATTCGATGCTGGCTTCCAACTGCATTACATGGTCTCATTGCGAGGCAGGCTGGGCCAAGGCCGAGAAGAGTAGGTCTCCCATAGCAACTACTAAGCTTCTGTTGGGCTTTACTGTGCAGCAGATAAAGTGGCAGCCATAATATTTATGGTCAGTGTAGATGGGCCCCTTTCCTGTCAGTGGTTCCACTGCAAGGCAGGCTGGGCTGAGGCAACTAGGACTCTCATAGCAAGGTGACTGACTAGGTGTCTGTCATGCTTTACTGTGCACCAGATGGGCCCTTTTCCTGTCAGTGGTCCCACTGCGAGGCAGGCTGGGTTAAAGTGACTAGGCCTAAGATCTTCTGGGTGGTCAGCCAGTCACAGGCACGTTTGGCAGGGATGAGAGACAGGACCTTCTCAGTTATTGCCCCCCCCCCTTTATGGAACTCCCTTCCTGGTAATATTACATCAGCCCCCGCCCTCCTGTCCTTCAGAAGGAAGGTCAAGACCTGGCTGTGGGACCAAGCCTTTGGGGCAGTGCAATGAAGCAACTTTTAATGTGGATGTGTGATTTTAATATTTGTATATATTTATGGTTTTATGTCCCGGAATTGAATATTTGCCATATATATATGTGCCTAGCAGTGGGACCAGGTAGTGCAATTTGAATGGTGGCATCTGACAGAAAAAGGGCCCATCTACACTGCTACCCCTCTATTCTGCTTTGGTTAGACCACATCTGGAATATTGTGTCCAATTCTGGGCACAACAATTCAAGAGAGATATTGACAAGCTGGAATGTGTCCAGAGGAGGGCGACTAAAATGATCAAGGGTCTGGAGAACAAGCCCTATGAGGAGCGGCTTAAGGAGCTGGGCATGTTTAGCCTGAAGAAGAGAAGGCTGAGAGGGATATGATAGCCATGTATAAATAGGTGAGAGGAAGCCACAGGGAGGAGGGAGCAAGCTTGTTTTCTGCTTCCTGGAGACTAGGACGCGGAACAATGGCTTCAAACTACAAGAGAGGAGATTCCATCTGAACATGAGGAAGAACTTCCTGACTGTGAGAGCCGTTCAGCAGTGGAACTATCTGCCCCGGAGTGTGGTGGAGGCTCCTTCTTTGGAAGCTTTTAAACAGAGGCTGGATGGCCATCTGTCAGGGGTGATTTGAATGCAATATTCCTGCTTCTTGGCAGGGGGTTGGACTGGATGGCCCATGAGGTCTCTTCCAACTCTTTGATTCTATGATATGCTGTGCTCTGCCCTGAGTCCCTTGCGGTGTGAGAAGGGCACAATCTAAATGTTTTAAATAAATAAATAAACAGGGCCTCTCATAGGCTTCTGCTGTTCTTTACTGTGTGCCAGATAAACTGGCCGCCATAATATTTATGGTCAGTGTTGATGGGCCCTTTCCCTGTCAGTGGTCCCACTGCGAGGCAGGCTGGCCCAAGGCTACTAGGCCTCTCATAGCAAGGCGACTAGGCTTCTGTTGTGCTTTACTGTGCGTCAGATAAGGTGGCTGCCATAATATTTATAGTGAGTGTAGATGGGCCCTTTCCCTGTCTGATGCCGTTATTCGAAGCTGACTTCGAACTGCATGGCATGGTCGCACTGCGAGGCAGGCTGGGCCGGGGCGAGTAGGCCTCCCATAGCAACGCCTGCCTGCCTCGGGCGCGGCCGGCTTTTTCCGCCGTGCTTCCTGTGCGCTGCGTCTCACGGCGCTGTCCTGTTTCCCTCCCGGCAGGATCTACACGGGCTGCGACATGGACCGCCTGACGCCGTCCCCTGGGGACTCTCCGCGCTCGCAGATGGTGCCGGGGGCGCGCTACGCCATGGCAGCAGCGGCGGCGGCGGGCTCCTTCCTCCAGGACCAGTTCGTCAGCAACTACGCCAAGTCCCGCGGCTTCCACCACCACCATCACCACCACCACCACCACTCCGGCGGAGGGGCGGCAGGAGGAGGCGGCGGCGGAGGAGGCGGCGGCGTGGCGGGAGGAGTAGGCGGAGGCGGCGGAGGGCCGGTCCCGGATCGCGGCGTGCCCCACCCCAACGGGCTGCTCTCCCCGCAGCAGGCCGAGGAGCCCAACGCGCCCTCTCCGCAGCGCTGGTTCGTCACGCCCGCCAACAACCGCCTGGACTTCGCCTCGGCCGCCGCCTCGGCCTACGACCCGGCGGGCGAGCTGGCGGGCAACGCGGCCACCTTGCTGTCCTACGCGGCGGCCGGCGTGAAGGCGCTCCCCCTGCAGGCGGCCGGCTGCACGGCGCGCCCGCTCGGCTACTACCCGGACCCTTCGGGCTGGGGCGCGCGCAGCCCCCCGCAGTACTGCGCCAAGTCGCTCTCGTGCTGGCCCAACGCCTCCTCGGGAGGGACCACCGGCGGCGGCGGCGGCGCCCGCTTGGGGGGAAACCTCTACCTGCCCGGCGGAGGGGGCGAGGAGGTGGAGAGCCTGGCGCCCCCGGAGCGCTCCCCCTTGGTCGCGCCCGCCCCGCCTCCCCCGCCCCCGCCGCCCCCTCCGGCCCCGCCCTCCTCCTCCTCCTCCTCGTCCTCCGCCTCCGGGCCCCCGCCCCCAGAGGACTCCAAGCCCCCCAAGGACTTGTCCGACTCCAGCTGGATCGAGACGCCCTCCTCCATCAAGTCCATCGACTCCACCGACTCTGGGATTTACGAGCAGGCCAAGCGCCGGCGGCTCTCCCCCGCGGGCACCCCGGCCTCCGAGAGCTCCTCGCCGCTCAAGAGCGAGCCGGCCTTGGCCGCCCCCCGGGACTGCGACAAGGCCGCCCCCTGCGCCAAGGACATCGGCTACTACGGCTTCTACGCCCACAGCTAGAGGGCCAGGGGCGGGGCTAGGCACCGGCCACGCCCACTCCCACTTTCCCCGCCCTCTTTCCCCTCACCTCTCCACGCCCCCTCCCTTCCCTCTCTTTCGGGCGAGTGCCCCTTCTCTCCTCTACGCACGCGCAATCCCGCTCTCTTCTCTTCTCTCTTTCTGTCTCCTGCGCACGCGCGCAGGAAAAGAGCGCCAAAGCCGCCCTGAAACGCATTTCCTTGTGGAAGTGATGGCGCCACTGAACAATCCAGCCGCTGCCCACCTGTTCCTCCAATGTTCTTTCCCTTTAATGCACTGATTCCCAACCTTTGGACCTTCAGGTGTTTTGGACTTCAACTCCCAGAAATCCTGGAGGACCAAAGCTTGGGAACCAGTGCTTTACTGGAATGCGGTTTAGCACAGTTTCAAATGCCATGGCTCAAAAGTATAGAATCAAGGGAGTTGGCTGTGGTGAAAGGAGGCACCAGCATTCTTTGGCAGCCATTCAAGACTTTGTCAAGCTACAACTCCCATTTTCCCATACCACTATGCCAGTTAAAATGGTGCCAAGCTGCATTCATTTCTTCAGTGTACAGCCAGCCTGGTGGCCCTATCTATGTAATCCTCTTCAGCGCTATCTCAGTTGGTCGCTAGATCCAAATTAACTGCTTTGCCTGAGGCCTAATGAGTGAAAAAATTAACACAATTTGGCACCACTTTGTTCAGGTCTAAATGCGGATCAAGTGCATGGAACTGGATTATATGGCAGTGTAGATTTATATATCCCAGTTCAATGCAGTATATGCATTGATAATGCAGTTTAATGTGGCAGTGTGGCTCAGGCCTTTGACTGAGGTGGTTCAATGCTGTGGAATCCTGGGATTTGTAGTTGTACAAGGTTTTCAGCCTCCTCTGCCAAAGGGTGTCGGTGCCTTACCAAACTCCAGCTCCCAGGACTCCACAGCATTGAGCCAAAGCTATTAAATCAGACATGGGCAAACTTTGGCCCTCCGGGTGTTTTGGACTTCAACTCCCACAATTCCTAGCAGGAATTGTGGGAGTTGAAGTCCAAAACACCCGGAGGGCCAAAGTTTGCCCATGCCTGCATGAAATGGTGTCAAACTGCATTAATCCTACAGTGTAGTCCATACACCCAGAGAATACTCCCTTTCCATCCTTGTAGGGAGAAATAGGAAGAGTGGCATAGCCATGCTTTCTTCCAAGGGGTGATGCAGGCCTCCAGCAGCGACAGGCAAGGCATTTTGCTGCCTAAGATGTGAGGAAGGGGCTCCATCCAGTGCTGGGAGGGTCCTTTGCCCCTTATCAACAGCTCTCCCTAAAAAGCAATGGATAGGCAGCTAAATAGCTCAGCATCTCCTGCTTTTTCCCTTCACCATCAGTCACCAACGCTCTGCCCCCTTTGGCCCAGAGAGGCCAAGGCACCCCTGTCGTGGAAGCTGTGCTTTCCCTTGAGGCAACCCTTTCCTTTCCTCTCTTGGTTCGGAAGCGAGCCTCGCAGCCTTCAGCGGACTGACTCCCAGGTAAGCCAGTGTGAATGGGGAAGGAGCTTTGGTCAGGATTCCTGCTCTGCGGCAGCACCTGCATTGTGGAGTGAACGCAGTTTGACCCCACTTGGCCCAATGAGAGGGAAGCCTGGGCTTTGTGGTCTGGGAAGAGTGAAAGTGCCACACCAGGGAGCCCCCGGTGCCGCAATGGGTTAAACCCTTATGCCGGCAGGACTGAAGACCGACAGGTCACAGGTTCGAATCCAGGGAGAGCGCGGATGAGCTACCTCTGTCAGCTCCAGCTCCCCATGCGGGCACATGAGAGAAGCCTCTCACAAGGATGATAATACATCAAAAATCCAGGTGTCCCTCTGGGCAACGTCCTTGCAGACGGCCAATTCTCTCACGCCAGAAGCGACTTGCAGTTTCTCAAGTCGCTCCTGACACGACCAACAAATTCTATATAAATAAAACTGTAATGTTCGTTTGTGGGATTAACACAACTCAAAAGCCACTGGACGAATTGACACCAAATTTAGACACAAGACACCTATCAGGCCAACGAGTGACCATCACTCATAAAACACTGAAAAACACAGCAGAAGGGACTTAAAAAGCCAAAAAATACATTACAATGCATGCGCAAAACCACATATACACACAAACACACAAATATACACATATACACAAATATATACACACACATATGCACAGCAACGCGTGGCAGGGGACGGCTAGTAAAATAATAAAATCAAACGACACCCTCCGGGATTCCCTAGCATTGAGCCATGGTAGTTCAAGTGGGGGCAAACTGTATCATTCCTCCAGTGAAAGAGGCACGGATCCTTTCCCCATGAGGCCCCTCTCCTCATTTCTTCCTGTCTTTGAAAAAGCCCTTAGTTTATTGGTCGATTGAATTTATCCCGGCACTGAATACAAGGCGGCTGTGGCCTCATCAGCACCGCCATCTACACTGCATATAATCATGATTCTATGGATTATCTGAGTCTACACAATGCAGTTCAATCTGCGTGATAATGGCGGTGTAGATGGAAGGAGATTTAGCCGATTGAGGAAAGGATTTCCAGGGAATGGAGATGCAGCGACTCAGGCCCCTTCTACTCTGCTTTATATCCCAGGATCCGACCCCAGATTATTTGGCAGTGGAGGCCCATATAACCCAGTTCAAAATAGATAATCTAGGATCAGATCCTGGACTATAGGGCAGTGTAGATCCAGTCTCACTGTCGCCAATGGGATTTCTTTCAGGGAAGACAAGTGGACAAGTGTACTGTATAGCAACAGCTTGCTCCATTTGGATGCCAATGTCCTGATTTTACAAGTATTTGGATCACAGTTGTGTGTGTATAATCCAAGCGGAATCCGGATCCATGGCTTCTTTGAATCGTATTCAGTCTGATGCCTTTGGGTCCCTTCAAGTCCGGTTGATTTCAATGTGAGTTGAACAAACTGGAGGTTTTATGCGTGGAATTTCCCATGGAGTTTCTTTTAGTGTGGTAAAGGTGCTTGAACGGCCCAAAGGCAATGGGACCTGCCTGATCTTGGAAACTAAGCAGGGTCAGCCCTGGATAGGACTTGGATGGGACACCATTAGTAAATGACCGGATGCCACAAGGGCAAAACCACCTCAGAGTGTCCCTTGCCATTAAATTGACCGTGAAAGGCTCCACTGAGATCAATAAGTCTTAACGCCAGTGTGGGGGCTTTACATTTGACATCCTAGGGGCATTTCAGAGCTGGTTTCCTCAGGCATAAATCCCTCCTTGCTCCAAAGCTAGTTTTATACTGGACTTCTAAACAGGACTGTGGGGTCTCTCGCCTCTAACGCTGGAGCTTTATCCAGATTCTGCAGGTCTTTCTATGGAAAAACCCATTCATTTCCCATTTGGTTGATTTTGAGCCCTTCCACACAGCCCTATATCCCAGAATATCAAGGCAGAAAATCCCACATTATCTGAGTGTGGACTCAATCCATTTCAAAGCAGATATTGTGGGATTTCCTGCCTTGGTATTCTGGGATATAGGGCTTTTTGTCCTTGTCAGGAATGTCATAAGTTTTTTCTTCTACACTGCCATATAAAAACCAGGTTATCTGCTTTGAACTGGATTATATGGCAGTGTAGACTCATTTAAACCAGTTCAAAACAGATAATGTGGACTATCTCCTTTTGATAATCTGGATTATTTGGCAGTATAGAAGGGGCTTTAGGAAAGGAATATTTAGAAGTGGTTTTTACCGGTTCCTTCCTTGGAAATATATTCCACAGTCCTTGGCATTCTCCCATCCAGTTAGCAACCAGGGCTAGCCCTGCTTAGCTTCCAATATTAGTCTCTAGTAGCTAATCCGGAAAGCCGCCAAATAATAGTACAACAATGAAATATTTCCACTTGTTTCACTGAGGGCAGCCACTAATCATCATCAGGTGCCTAAATAAATCCAACCTAGTGCAATAAAATATGTCCACTTGTTTCAAGGAGGGCCCCCTTTAACAACAATGGCAACAACAAAAATATTTCTTCCCTGTCTCTTCTCAATATATAGATGAAAAGTAAGCCCGTTAAAAGACGTGGAGCTAAGAGTAAAACACATCAGAAGCATACATCCTAATGGCCTGTCAATTGCAATAAATAGCTTAACATTGACTGCCAGAAGAGACAGGTCTTTACTTCTGCTTTCTGTACTGAGAGCCATCCCTGACAGATAGATACAGTCCATGCTAACAATTCTGATCCAAGAATTGGCTTGGTAGCTCTAGTCCCTGTGGAAATCAACTCTAGTCCCTGTGGAAATGAAATGCCTTTCTCAGCAAGTTTATATACTGATACTCTCCCCACCGACTTCTGTTGCCCTCTCCCCCAATCTCTCCAGTTTTGGGCCGAGTGTGTGCTGGGAAGGAAGACCAGGAGGGCGATTCCTCCAAGGCTGCAGGCTGGGGCGTCCTGAGCTGGGAGGCAAGGCGGCTGGCTGGAAAAGGGCAGCCAGGGGGGGTCTGGGTGGGCAGGCTCCTCCCCCACTTCTTTTTTTCTCTCTCTTTCTCCCCCCCCCCAAACTTTTCTCTCTTCCTCCCCTTCCTCCCCCCCTCCCCAATGATTTCTATCGCTGTAAATCTTTGTAATGAAGACGCTGCAACCGGTAATAGACGACCGACTTGTTGGTACCCATAGTGTAGTCCAGTGAAGATGACTTCGTGAGCTGTACAATTCTTTCTTTTTTTAAAATTGAAATTGCATTCCGTTTGGATTTTTTAAAGTTTATATTTTTAATGCATAACTAAATGACACGAAAACAGCCTTTCTGGGGGATAGACTAGGCAATGTCAGTTAAGAGTGAGCTGCCCTTCCTTCCTTCCTTCCTTCCTTCCTTCCTTCCTTCCTTCCTCCATTCCTTCCTTCCTTCCTTCCTCTTCTTCTTTATATACTAATCTCATACCAACTTATAATATAACTTTTGTGTATGTATTCTGATAAATCAAATATTACGAAGTTCTATGTCTTCTTCCCTGTACTTCAGTCTCTTCATATATATCATGAATACACGTTATTTTACTCCTCTCTATATTTACACTTATTAAGTTACTCTTATGTTATTTCGTTTTTCCTTCACTCTTTTTCTTTCTCTCTCTCTCCCTTTCTACTCTCCTTCTTTATTTCCTTCTTTCATTTTTAACACATGCAACCTTGCAGAGGTATGACTGCGGTGACTGAGTTCCTTTAGGCAGGCACGTCGGCTCTCTTTCTGTTCAGTGACTCATTGAAAGTCCCTTGACCTAAGTTGTAGTTCGTCGTGATTGTATTCGTTCCTTTTTTGTCACGAATAGAGTAAATTTTCTAAAAATTTGGAACGAGTGAGTGTTGGTGGATTGACCACACGGGCATAAGGTGTTCTTCTTGTTCCTTTCCCCCCCTTCGCCTACTTCTGTCTCTATTCCCCTTCACTATCATGCTCAGTTCCCTTTCAACCGCCTTCTCTTTTGTTCTTAGCTCTTCCTTCCTCTTCCTTGTTCTTATATCGTCCTTTTCTTGTCCTTTCTGATAATGATGGAATGAAAAATAGGTTTTTTCCTTACCTGTTTTTTCTTTTGTCTTTGTTTTTCATGAACTTTCTTGGGATATTTTCACTTCCTTAAGCTTTTCTTTCCCTTCTTTTCCTTTTCCTTTCCTCCCCTTTCCTTTCCCCTTTCCTTTTTTCCTCCTTCTCTTCTCTTCCCTTTTCCCTTCCCTTCCCTTCCCTTCCCTTCCCTTCCCTTCCCTTCCCTTCCCTTCCCTTCCCTTCCCTTCCCTTCCCTTCCCTTCCCTTCCCTTCCCTTCCCTTCCCTTCCCTTCCCTTCCCTTCCCTTCCCTTCCCTTCCCCTTGTCTCTCTTTGCTTTCTCCTCCCTCCCTTTCCTTTTCTTCCTTCCTTTTTCTTCCTCTCTCTTCCTTTCCTTTCCTTTCCTTCCTCTTCCCCTCTCTCTCTCCCCTTTCCCCTCCGTCCCTTTTCCTCCCACCTTTCCTCCTTTCCT